TTTGATATAAAAAACAAATGTTAAAAAAAAAAAAAAAAAAAAAAAAAAAGGCGGGGGGGGGAGGAAACACTAGCCATCACCAAGGAAACTAATGGAAACCCAGTAAATTCTTGATTACAGCAGCAATAATTCCTCATGAGTCTGGTATGATAAAGGCATCCCTGCAGAGTCAGAGGCAGCATGGACTTTTAGAAAAGCATGCACAAAATAACCCTGTTATAAATAAATTACTGCATAAAGTGTTTGGAAGCAGAATCAAATTTATAGTGAAAAAGATGATAAGAAGCAAAATTCCATAAAGACTTTTTGAGGTAGATCTGTAATTTTCAAATGCAAGGCACATATTTCCCTATATGGTCAACTGTAGAAACTTTTCCAATCTGTTATTTTAAAGAATCCAAAGAACATCTTTGCCCTTCACGAAAAGAATTAAAACATCTCCGTCCTGGCTACTTCTCAGATAAGCTTTATGTGGTATTTTTGCTAAGCTATATAAAGTGGAAGACAGAAGAAGAAAGTAGGTGAATAAAATATCAAGTACTGAAGTTACCATATGGCAGAGTACTATTATCCATCATTGCATTAATCATTTGAAACACAAATGAAAAACAAAGGCACAAACAACTAGTGATGAATAAATTAAAAATCCCTTAGCTTTGACACACAGGCATTTGACTCCAGTAATTAAAAAAAAAAAACACAAACCAAACAACCTCACAGAAATTAAAGATGGAAACAGCCCAGGATTGTCTCTAGGAGGAAATGATTCATTTTCAGCTCCACCTCTCCACTCTAACAGCACTTGTTCCTAGAACCTATCTCTCTGATTTATCTAGATTATGGCTCCTCAAAAAAATCACACTCCCTCTCCCTTCATGCCTCGAACTGACCTCACTTCTCCCTCTTCTCCCCATGCCTTCAGGGAAAGAGGAAAACAATGGATTTGAGAGGCAGTAAAGCTGCTGCGTTTTTCAAGTGGTATCACTTGCCGAGTGTTTCCAGACGCACCAGACCATGCCCTCAGGGAAAGAGGAAAACAATGGATTTGAGAGGCAGTAAAGCTGCTGCGTTTTTCAAGTGGTATCACTTGCCGAGTGTTTCCAGACGCACCAGAAGGTGGCCATCTCCAAACAGCTTTAACAAACGCACCGGGACCGACCAAATATTTGTCCCTACAGGGAAAACTCTTGTAGAATAACTTTATTTATTCTCAACATGTTTTTGTAAAGATGAAATCACATCAGGTTGCAGATTAAATTATATGAGCAGTAACACCTCTCTTTTTTTCTTTATTTTTTTTTTGTGTGTGGTTATTTAGTCAACCACTACTACTAATAAATTGAACAAAGGGATGTTGCTATTACAAACAGTGTATTCTAAGTTACTTTCATAGTTCTTATTACCATTACATGTTATGAACTTTGAAGGCATTTCAAATATATCTTGAAGGCACTTGTAATCTTTTGTGCCTTTCTTCTGCATTTGTTATCTGTCTCTCTCATAGAGAAACTGTAACATCCTTTATTTTACATGGAATGGATGCAAAACGGAGGTAAAGAGAAAGCACGAGTTACGCCAAGAACGAGCTGCCTGGCTCTTTCTTCCTCAGTTGACTAAGTATTTCTGAAGCATAAGGGAGAACTCCTGCCCTGAAGAGTTGCATTTTTGTGTCACTGAAATATAAATGATGGGGAAAGGTGGAGCACGTGCTTACCAGAGCTGCAGCTTGATTCGGCGGCCATCCAGGAGAATCGTTGTAGTCTTATAATCTATACCTGTGGGGAAGAGGCACACAGATCTTAGAGCAGCTTACAGGTGTACAGTGAACACACAGACAGATTTCAAAGAAGCTCACCTTAAAAAAAAAAAAAAAGGTTTCTGTCATTAGTACTTTATGAAGACATATGGAGAACAACTTGTTCATACAAAGTTACAAAGATCTTTCATATTCCTTAGGCTTGGTGCATTCAGAGCAGATGTCTCAGGCTCCCTTCATATTGATAAATGGCCTGTTTTATTCATTATTATGACAACATACATGCTTAAAGAATTTTATCTTCAGTACAAGAAAGTAGAACTAGGTTTTTGCCTGTTCTCCCATACATATGTTGCAGAGTAAATGCTGTTCTCTTTCTCCATTCCCTGCCTTTACTGCCTCTGTCATTTATTCCTTCCTTATCATCTCTGACTCACAGGCAGGGCTTATATCAGATACACGTGTCCCCCTCATATAAAAGCAGCAGATGGTGCAAGACGTGGTTTATCTCTTGTCTTCCAGCCTTTCCCACTGCCAGCAGCCCCCTCTGCCCAGCAGACCCATGCAGTAGTGCCCAGCACAACGCAGGTTCTTCCATTTATTCCTTCCCCTACCAGGCCCAGGTTGAGCCACAGCCACAGTTTTTAAGGGAAGTAGGTATTGTAATATGTTTATATGCTTATATGTGTATCCACGCACACATATAGAACTTCACTCACATCTTTATTGTGCATTTTGTAGTCTTTGCAAACAGCCTTCAGCACTTTGTAACATTACCTTTTCACTGCTAACCTCACATGTCCTGGGCAGCAATTAAACTCTAAAAATAAGCTCAACTCTAGTTAGCATGAACGTTTTGGGCAAAACGGGTGTGTTGCTTCCAATTAGATGAGGTAAAACTAATCAGAAGCAGTTGTGTGGCGGCAGCTGACCCCTGAAAATATCCACCACCACACCAGGGTCAATGGCTTTGAACACTGTGCTTCAGTACTGCATCCACAAATTGCATCATTATAAACATTAAAAGAAAGAGAGGCTTTTATTTTATTAAATGTTATTTTTAAAGTGTGCATTCAGTATTCATTCACACTGTGCAGCCAAGCAACCCAATTTCACTGGTAAATGTCTTTTTCTCATGTTTTCTTTGCTCTGTCATAGTTAACATCCTGAATTGAACATTCATTCATAGAGTCCTCCAAATTAAGTTTAAAAAGCAGGGAAACTACCTCTGAAACATGTCCTCAAGTCTAATGAGACTTGTACCTTGAAAAGGAGAAACATGCTTTATTTTCAGAGCATAAGCAAAACAAAGGGGTGAGAAAACCACATTGATGTGGAAAAATGAATGGATAGAGAAGAGCACCCTAATTCCTGCTGAAGATTTCAGCACATCTTGGTGAGAGGAACAGGGATGGCAGTGCTGAAAATGATCTTTAAGTGTAAGATTCATTATTAGGGTGGCATCAACAGCCAGAACAAAAAAGTTAATCTATGTATCAGTGTTTGTATTGATAAACATGACAAACGCTTATCAGTAAGATCTTCTGCTGTTGTCATTGTTGTATTTAAGAGGGAAAGAAAAGTTTGAAAGCTCAGTAAGAGAGTTCAGTAAGAGAGTGTATTGATTACTTTTCTCAAAGAGAAGGTATAGCATAGCAGGGCACATATGCAGCAAATGAGAATCTGTCTCAGCTGCAAGCACAGCTCTGGGGAGACACCCTCCACGCAGGAGATCTCCTCTCTTTGCCTGAAAAAATGTTTATTAAGCAAGTTAATAAAATGGATTTCCTGCAGCTCCTCTAGTGGAGCATCACAAAGTGCTGCTTCCAGTTGTTATGAAGAGGTCCCTAAAGCAGTCACTGGCAGTCACCTCCATTTTTGTAAACAAAAAATAGGTTTAAAACCCTCTGGCATAAATAAGCAGAGGTGGAAAAGGCAGCCTTGCCCATCTCCTTTTTTCCAGAAGGAAAGGAGCCTGTAAGACTCGGTCTGGAATAAAGAACAGATGTTAAATTACCCAGCAGAAGTTATTGGAAGGTACCAGTTGTCAGCTGAGCCAGCTCCCCCGTAGCCACAGGCAAAGAGAAGAGACGCTGCATTTCTGCTGCTTCTAAAATGTGCACCACACTAAACCGTTCAAATGGCACGTGTCACATGTAAGATGCCACCTGAGGCACACAGAATTGGAGCCCATTTTATGAAAACAACCAGAAACTTGAAATCCCTACATTATAATCACAAGACGCTGCTCTTCAAAAGGAGCTGTGGATGTGCTGCCCCAGGAAATGTTCTCCCAGTTACAGATGAGGGCAATCTCTCGCCCAGAGACCAGCACACCACTGCCCAACCTGTCTGTCTCCAGGTTTTAGTCTCAAAGTAACTCATTTGTACACAACTATCACCAATTTCTCCCAGGGGGACTCTGAATGCTTTTATTACACAACACAATAGTACTGATTCCTTTTTGTAGGATACCAACTGTAACTTAGACGCAAAAACACACAGTGGAACAAGGTCTTTATCTCTACTACAAAGAGCTTCACTTCTCTAATTTCCTGGCTTCTTGCACGCCAGCATTTACATTCATAGATTAAGCAGACAGTATTCGAAAACTTTCATAGCAATATTAGCAAATCTTTTTTACTTCTGTATTGCATTTGCCAATATTAGTAGAGTTAAACCAGCTTTAAACTTTATAAGGTAAAGAGATTTAAAACCAACACATTTTGAAGGATAATTGCACAGCAGTGCTATTAATTAAAAATATTTTTATCTATGAATTGACTTGTTACATGTTTTATGTCATTTCTAACAGCAGTAGCAACTGCCAAGCACCTGCCCAGTTTGAAAGCCAAGACCCAGAGAGGAGCGGGAAGTCGCGGTGGCATCGCCCTGCTGGAATGGGGACTGCGGCTCCAGGAGCCAGGGCACTTCTCAAGAATGAGAAGCCAAGAGGAATTGCCTGTTCCCAGTATCCTGGTACAGAAGGAGCTAGCAACCACCAGAGAGATGATAGAGAGCGAGCTTAAGGAGCGATCTTCCTGGGATGTGGAGACCAGGTAAGCAAGAAGATCAAAACAGAGGCGCTGTGGTTGTAAGTCACACGTTATTAGGAAATGTATTTCAAAGATGCCACTTCATTTCTGTTGCCTGCAGGGGAGTTCACTTGAGTCACATCAACACACAGGTTCACTACTCCCCCTTTTACAAACTGATGAATAC